TAGCCCTAGTTACGAAGTCCCATGATCCTCTATAAGTAGGGTCACTTGAAAGCTTAATCGGCTCAATCCTGGAGTTAGGGTTTGCCTGTGGAACCAGAAGCCGCTTGTTTCAATATCCCCGCTCTTAAAGGAATCCTATTATAGAACCCTACAGTGCCTATATAGTACTCTTTAAGGGGACCCTGTTGTAGAACCCTATCTAGCCCTTTATGCAATCTGCTGGTTTCCCATGGTTTTGGGCTGCGTGGGTGCCCCTTTCAAACTCACTAAGGGAGGCCTTCACTTCGAACTTCCTAAAGACCGAGGTATGCAGAATCCACCACGGAGGACACAGCCGGGTCTTCATACCAAGAGTACAGCATCGAGGTCCGGACTTCAGGGTTTACGGCCTTGGGGTTCAGAGCAAGATCGACACCCAAAATCTTCACCCTAAACACTGCACCCTCAACCCCCAATCGCCTAAAGCCTAAAAATGTACTGGGTTTAGGGTTTAGGACTTCGGGTTTATGGGGATTTAGGGTTTTAGGGTTTTAGGGTTTAGGGTTCAGGGTTCATAAACCCTAAGCTTTGTCCTAAACCTTACATCTGGACACTGGAGATCCGAGCCCGGGTACCCAATGCCAAGGCTTTGGGATCCTGAGCGGAAGCACAACGATACATGTTGAGTCCTACCTAAAGGGAAGACTAGGTTTAGGGTTCAGGGTTTTAGGGTTTAGGGTTTAGGGTTTGGGTTTAGGAGGGATATATTATAGTGGGACTGAGTAACTGGGGTTGTAGTTGTAGCGGAGGCAACTATACATATAATCACTCATAAACTCTATTAGGATACTTTAACCTTACTTACTCAGTGCCATGATCCCTCCCTCATAGAGCCTTTATAGATCCCTTTGAGGAGCTCTTTTAAGGAAACTTACTTCCAGTCCCATGATCCTTCGAGTAGAGCCAAACCTGAAGTTGTAGGTAGAGTCTAAGGAGCCTTAGGCGGTAGGGGGAGGGAGGGTAGGGGACCTTCTCTTACCTTTTTTGAAATAATATAGGACCCTATTCCACCCTGAACAGGTCTTTAGTAGTAAGGAGAACAAGGTGCGCTACACCCATCCCTTTCTCCTAAACCTTAAACCCTAAACCCGGAACCCTATGCCTCGAACAAGTAGTAAAAAAACGTCCCCTTATATACTCAAACTGTGAATATGAACCAACGATCATTCTTCCAGTCATTCAGGCCTAAACCCTGAACCCTAAACCCCTCATGTGCCATAGACCTAAGCCTACATCCTAAACACCATAAACCCTAAACCCTTTTTTCTAATCTCGGGTCACTGAAACTGGTGACTTGTTGGGAGCCTACTTCGGGCAGACGTAAAAGAGTCACCCCAACTGTAAAAAAAAACCCTGAGACCTGAGCCCTAAGCCCGAATCCGCAAGCCTCACGACATCCATAAGCCACGTTTTGACGGTTGTTCCTGGACCTTCGTCCACTCTAGTGGTTAGGGTCTAGATTTTAGGAGTTAGGGTTTCGGGTTTAGAGTTTCGGGTTTAGATTTTAGAGGTTCAGGGTTTAGATTTTAGGTGTTTAGGGTTTGGCTTTTAGGGGTTTAGGGGTTGGCTTTTAGGGGTTTAGGGTTTCGGGGCTTAGATTTTAGGGGTTAAGGGTTTAGATTTTGGGGGTTTAGTTTTTCGGGGCTTAGGGGTTGCGTGTTCAGGACTTCGAGGGTTTGCGGTCTGTGGCTGGGCTCTGACTGGGCTGTGCTCGTAAGCCCCAAACTAAACCCCAAACCCTATAAGCCCTATAAGCCCTAAACCTTAAACCTTATTAACCTTAGAAGCCTTATAGCAACCCTAAACCCTAAACCGTAAACCCTAAATCCTAGAAGCTCCCTACGCCCTAAACCTTTAACCCTAAACCCTAAACTTAACCCGAAGCCCTAAAGCTTCCTCCCGGTTGTTCGTGTCCGCGGCCCTTTGAGAAAGGATCTTCTTGAAGTTGCGCTCATGTGTAGGGTTTAGGGTTTAGTCGTTTAATGTTTAGGGTTTAAGGTTTAGGGTCTAGGGTCTAGGATTTAGGGTTTAAGGTTCAGGGTTTAGGACTCAGGGCTTATAGGGTTTAGTGTTTATAGAGCTCATAAGCGGTTCATAGGGTTTATATGGTTTATAGGGTTTAGGGTTTTACCGCATACCGGTTGACCATCATTCAACTACTCAATATTGCGTGCGATCTTTCACGGCTTGATTTTGTGGTTGCAAGACATGCATAAATCAAGCTGTACTTAGGTCGCCGCAGTATTGGCGCTTAGGCATCGGACTTTTGGAAAGGCTTTGGGGCTCAATCAAGGTTCAGTCTAGGGGTATATAAGGGTGAGCCTTGTTTAGAGTTTAACGCTTAGGGGTTTGAACAGGGTTTGGGGTTCAGAGGCGGCACCATCAGGGTGGGATCCTGACTTCTAGTCACCCATAAACCCCAAGCCCTAAAACCCTAACACCCTAAACCCTAAACCTGCTTGCGATGACGTTTGGAGACGACGGTTCCTGTACGGGTTTACTGCAAGGGGTTGTGGTGGTTTCTAGCGGGGTTTGATGGGCTTACTAGTGTTACAGGGTGTTAAAAGGTCCATGTACCTGTATACGTCGGTCTTGTCTCACCTTGCGGCAAAAGTTCACTCGGTAGGGTCTTTGACTTGGGAGTTGAGAGTCTCGTCTCACCTTGCAGCAAAAGTTCATGCTGTAGCGTTTTTTGACTTGGGAGGTGAGAGACCAAGTAACCTTTGTGTAGAACCCAAACAATGTATTCAGCACCATGTCTTTAAGAAGACTCGTAAGTGAAGATCCCCTAACTTAGTCCAGATGGAATCCACAGGACTTGCACAAACCATGTGGCTAGTTCTCTAAATGGGGGGGGGGGGGTCCCCTTTAGGGATCCTTTTTATAAGGGTGCCGTACTATATTTGGGGTCTAAAAAGGGACCCGAACTACCCATGTCAACAAGACACCCTAAACCCTAAACCGCATGCCCTACTCGGTCTACTATGTAGGTGCTCGGGGCCCTTTGGGTGGTTCGCGGTTGAGGATTTGGGGTCACTGCCCCTTCTGAATGCTCTCGTAAGTGTGCTTTAGGCCAATAATATAGGGACTGTAGTGGTTAGACCCTAAACCCTAAACCCTATAAGCCCCATAAACCATATAAACCCTATAAACCCTATAAGCCCTATAAACCCTATAAACCCTAAACCCAGGCATATTCTGATTGCCGGGACTCTCAGGTAGTAGACCCTTGGAGTAGAGGTTTTATGGTGTGGGTCTAGGATCGCAGATCTAGGGGTTTAGGGTTTAGGGTTTAGGAAAGTTTAAGCATCAAGGCTTGCATGCTGCGAAGCTCGAACTTGATTTTTAGAGTGAGGTCTTGATAAGAGATTGAGGTTTCCGCGGTTTGGCTGTAGGTTTTCAGGCTATGAGGGCTTAGCCTTTTGGGCTGTGACCTCTGCCGCGCATGTGTGCCTTTGCCTTAAGCTAGCCCGGATAGCAAGTCCACCCCACTACTGCAGACATCGTATTGAACATGTGTTCCTGATACCGTTTAGTAATGCTAGCATACCGAACACTAATTTGCAGTGCTACTGACATCCTGGTACCACTCGAAGTTCACGGATTGGCTTTATTTCGCTGATGAGTGTTGCTGGTATCAGAAGTGCTCCATACACTGTACGTCAGACTCGTGTGGGAAGAACTGGCCAAGTGGTACCAATCTCAATCCATAACAAGTACGGCTTGTGTCGTAGTACTGCTAAACATATCATGGCTCGGCTTCGTCATGTTAGCGATCTTGCGAGCAATTCACACCTTGTTCGTGGTTGAGGTTGCTAGCAGATGCCACTCACATGGCTACAGTACTTCCAGAACTGACTCGCTGTTGCAAGACCTGAGCCACGTCTGCTGTAGCCACCAGGAGAATGTCTGTGGCAATCTGGCAGTCAGTGTGCACACCTTGCTGCATCCTGCACAAACTGATAATTGCAACAACATGCGTAACAACCCTTACGGTTCAATTCTGTCCCTGGCTTTGCGTTTTCGCGTAATGGCAGCTGGATGTGTGGCATGGCATACGAAAGCGACGAATATTTGGTGGATGTGCCGGGAACCTGCATCTGCATATATCTGAATCTGCCATGCTTACACAGCGGAAAACGAACAGAAATTGTGTAGATATGCATAGTGTAGCTTTGGGGTGCATGGAAGGCGCTTGCCACGGCAGCCACATGTGAACGTGATCAGGCGATCGGGATCGAGAAGAGGACCAACTTCTATCCAAACTTCCCCAGCGAGCCGTGGACGATAGTGAAGTACACCATCAGCCTGAGCCGTGCCAGTTTCTACTATTGGTTGCTCGGAATGGTGAAGAGACAAATTTTCTCCCCAACCCAGCAACCACTTGCAATGCATGGCATATCATGGCGCAAGGCTAAACTCTGATTCCAAGTAGCACTTACAATGGGGTTATCCATCTCTCCTTTTGCATCTACATCATCAATGTCAGTCTCAAAAGACCTAAAGCTTTGAGCCCTTACCAAACAAAGTTCAGCGTTCGATATTGATCAAGTTGACCCTTTAGGTTGCAGATCCAGATGCTCGGTGGTGGGTTCAAGATGGCTCTGCTTAGCAACTTAAAACAGCCTTGTTGAAGCCAAGGTTGCTGATCATCTTCCCGACCGTGCTCATCACATACCTCTCCTTCGGCGTGTTCTTCATGTCGCACGAGGCAGTTGCACTTGACTGAAATGTGTGTGCATTCGTATCTTGCTGCACAAACTTACGCCATTCAGCCTGTTTCGTTGGTGTGTGGCGCTGCATTGGGCGGCGTCCTGGTGCTCTAGGCGCTCCAACGCAAAACCGAAGCTGGATCGGTTTCTCAAGCCTTGTGATTTGGAAGTCGCGCCCCAACAAAACCCACAGCTCCCTCGAAATCCAGACCTGTAACAAACGAAGCCCGCAAAAGACTCCAACATAGGCCCGCATCTAAGCCTGAACCTTGACTTCGTTTCTTAAGTTTGCAGCTTTTGGATTTGGGGCCCAAAGGTGCATGGAACTTTAAGCTTTGCATTGTAGCCGAACAAACCTATAACTTCTTAAAAAAACTTCTAAGGAAACCGTAATCTGTCAAAGAGTCGGACGCTGGAGGGACTTGCGAATTATAGGTCCTGAACGGTCACGGTACGCCCCAAACCCCGAACACTGACAGCCCAAAATCTCCGGAATCCAACGTGCTATAGTGATAGTATAATTCCTTCACTTACCGCGGGGTCCGCGGGGGTCCTCACGAGGGGATGACCCTTGCCGGCAAATTTGCGGGTAGGTTCAGTCGGAAGTAATTATGGGTACATGAGTACCGCAGTTTCGGTTACACCCGCGAAATTTCCAGGGAAGCCTATGGGGAATAAACCACTTAAATCTATCTTCAACCCCGTAGAAAACTATACTTACAGAACATCATTATTTCTGTCATCGTCCGCCTCGGGCCGGCCGCAAGTGAAGAGTAGTGCTTGGCGTCGGGGCAGAAGGACGCTATGACTATACATATAATCACTAGTGACTTAATACCCCTGTACTTACTACGCCCCATGATCCGTTTACTAAACTCTAGACTAAAGCTCCATCCTTAACCCGAGGAATGGCGCCACTACCCTCATCATAGCCTAAGTACTTATTAGGAAGCTCTGTTCAAGTGTGCTTGGGGGCACAACAGCCTCTATCAAGGAACTGTTCAACATGTTAATTAATACAGCGCAAAACGCTAAACCTGAAACCTGAAGCCTTAAATCCTATTGTAAGTCTTAAGCCGTAAACAAAGTTCGACTTTTGCGTTTTTGAACCTGGCCCTCCCCGAGCTCTTGTCCTGCAAGGTCGGCGAACGCCTGTCCTTCGGGATCACTTTGCTCCTCGTCGTGGAGGTGGGCCTCGTTTTGGCAGAGAAAGGGGGCCGGATGTAAATTTCATGCTGTAAAATCTTGTTACAAGGAGGTCCCAAGCCCTAAACCCTAGATCAAGTCCTCTAGCAGTTTAGGTATGTTTTTTTGTGTGGGCGTGGCGGGGTGGGTCGAGGGTTGAGCTCAAGAACTAGGCCTGCATGCGAAATCGTGTAGCTGGCGCTGCCGCCTTCAAGCTGACATGGAAGGGCATATTGGTTTGGTGTTTAGTGTTTAAGGTTTAGGATGAGTCATAATGTCATAACGCCGTTTAACGGGACAGCCACCTAAGCCCAATGATGGGTGCGTGTTGCAGGTTCCTCGTTTACTTGTAGCTTCGCCACCTCCTCCGGCATCTGAATGGTCCCTACGAGACAAGTAGGTCCCAAGGCAGTGCCGATGTTTTCCTGGAATGCTTCGTGGATTTACAGAGCACAGAACAGAGAAGCACAGGAAGTCCCTCGTTTAAAGGGGTCATTCGGGAGCCGCATCTTTCCAAAACCAAAACCCTGCCCGAAGGCTGACTCTAGGGAACCAAGCCCTGAGCCCTAAACCCAGAGACGCTAAGGAATCATTAGGGTTGAGTGTTTAGGGGCTTAGGGTCTAGGGTTTAGGATGCTAAAGTGCGACACCTTGTGAAGGGGATTTTGCAGCCTCGGCTGGAGCTTTGAACGACGCAAAACTTTTGCTAGGCTCACAGTTTTTGACCTGCGCCCTGCTTAGGACTTACTTTCCGTGCACTTGTCACTTTAGCTAGGCAAAGTTACATCCCCAATTGAGGTACTTGTACATAACTCTCCAGAAGTACCCGCTTGCTACGTCTGCCAAGCCTGCACTGAGCCAGGTCATGAAGGGAACTGTTGCGACGTTCGTTCCGGCACTTTTGGCTGAGTTCAGCATAGCCTGTCTGTCGTATGAGCAGTGATGCTGGAGGTAGTGATGATGGTGATGGTGACAGTGATCATGGTGATGCTGATGCTAACGGTCATGGTGAATGGTGGTGGTGATAGTTCCAACAATGCTGCTATGCTTAGCTTTGCTCTTGCGATTTTGGTCTCCTTTGGTACCCCACAGCGCTATGAAATGCTTGTTGTTCTTCTGTTGGATCCTTAGCGTTCTTCCGAGGCGGGTCTCAGTCCCAGTTCGGCTGGGGTGCGGCCCTAAACCCGTGAAGCCGAAAGCCTGAACCCTAAACCCTAAACTTTGGCCGTAAACCCCGAAAGGAGCTTAAATAGTAGTACGGTACGTGGCCTTTGACCTTTGTGTTTAGGGTTTAGGGTTGGTCGTAGAGTAGGTAAACTTTAACTTTTTTGGGGGTATTCACATCCCTATAGAATCCCAAAGGACAACCTTCAGTTCCCTAAGGCTGCTGGACAAATAAGAAACTTAATGCTCTGTAACCTGTAATCCAAGTATAGCCCCAAGCGCGTCAAGTTCAAGCCTTCCGGCTTTGCAGCCTAGCCGAAACCGTAGACACCACGATGACCCTAAGTAAAGCCCTGAACCCTGGAAAGCCCTGTGAAAAAAGAAGCTGGCAAACCATTCAAATAACAACAATTTCAAAACTCCCGGCTCTTAACCCAAGCCCTCAACCCTAAGTTATCCTCAGCCATCAACCCTAACTCTGGGTTTTAGGTGTGGGCGCGGAGGTCTCGGAGATTTTGGCTTGAGGTTTTGCATCGCAGGTCTAGGGGGGTCAGTTTCGGGGATCGGGCTGGGTGTTTAGCAGCTTAGGGGTGACAGCCGAAGGAGCAAGGGGCTCGGGACTAACGATTCTGGGGGTGTACCTGGTTAGGGGGTTCACCCTAAGCCCTAAACTCCCTAAGCCCTAAACCCTAAACCCTCAGCCCTAAACTGCCTAAGCCCGAAGCAGCCTGAGCCGAGGTTTGTGGTGAGCTGCTTTGGAAACTCGGCTCTCACCGGAACCCCTAAGCCCTAAACCCCAAAACCCACAACCCCGAGTCTTACTCTTCAGAGTCGAATACACGAATAGTCAGCAAAAGTATCTCCTGATAGTGAATACATGCATACGTACATACGTACATACATACATACATACATACATACATAATTACTTACATACATACATACACACATGCATACATACATACATGCATACATACAGACACACATACATACATACATGCATACATACATACATACATACATACACAGATGCAACGATATCTGCATAGGTATATAGAGTTGTATACATGCCATACATATGCCGATGCACACATGCGTACACATATATATATATATATATGTGTGTGTGAATACGTGTTTACACATCTAGATGCATGCATGCATGTGTAAGGCATGTGTGCAATGTACATCAACGCCTCGATTGTGTTGCCGTTTATCTCCCTGCATACCTCCGTAAGGTTTCTGATCCAGCAAGTAGCTTATAGGGTTAAGGGCTCGTAGCCTGGTACCTGTTAGGCTGAATGCCTTGGAAGTCTCGGTGACGGACCTTACGCGCAATAGACTCTAATCCCCAAGCCTAACTCAACCGCTATGATGACGGGTCTGGGTTCGTGGTGCAGAAGACAAGAACATACAAGATTGAGAGTCCGGTTTAGGGCTTAGGGTAAACCAGGACGTGGCGAAGGGAGGGATTATGTTTCTTCTTTGAGTTCCATCTCATAGTCGTGCAAAAAAACCCCTCGAATGACGTTTGGGATGGCGGCTTGGGATTCAGGTTCACCGTTCGACACCAGCTCCGTAACTATCCTGAACCCATTTACGACGCGGGAGCTGCAAAATAACCGAAAACCAAGCCAAGTGTAGACGCGCTACACTCTAACTTCAGCCTTCTTCCAAACCCTGCAAACCTAAACTCTGTCACTATCTTGAGTATCCAGGTCCTGTGTTCAGCTCAGGGACCCTGCAAGGAACCCGAAAGGGAACCCTCAAAGTAACCCCTCAAGGTACACGGACCCTTAGGGTACCCCAAGAGCCCAAGCCCTACATCCAAAGCCCGACACCCCTAAGCCGCACACACCTAACCCTAAACTCCATGAGTCCATATGAGCTTGAAACCCGAATCCAACGGCTTCGAGGAGCTCTTCGCCAAGCGAACCGCTCCAAGGAAGCCGTTCGCTGGTGCCTCATGAATTTAGGCTTTAGGGTTTAGGGGTTTAGGGTTTAGGGTTTAGAGTAGAGTTTCGGTGGTGCGTTGCTTCAAGTTCGGTAGGATGGACTTACGTAGCTCGAAGAGCTTTCGGGTTTAGATTTGCGGGGCTCTGG